ACGGGGATGGGGCCTCGGTGAGAGACCCCGGCGGGCGGGAGAGGGGCTCGTTGGGCGGTTGTTGCCGCCCCGTGGCCGGTGTGGGGCGCTGGGAGCGGGGGTCTCTGCGGGCCACATTCCCTCCCTCCCTCCTTCCCTTTGCGAGACGTCGGTGCTCGTGAGGGCTTTTTCCTCCGCTCCGTGCGGGGCCGCAGCCCCCGTGGCTACCTCGCCAACGCGTCGGGAGAGAAAGCTCTTCTCCCTGGGGAACGGTGGAGGGGGTGAGTCCTGGCCGCTGGAAGGTGCGGCCCAGCCCAGGGAGGGCAGAGCGGGCGTTGCCCTGCCCAGGCGTGCGTGCGGTAGGGAAGTGTGGCAGGGCTCCAGGGTTAGAAACGTTAGCTTGCTGGTTAATTTTTTGTGTGACCGTTCCCGCACAAGAGCTTAGCTCTTAACAGCTGTAGTATAGTAAAGATTCATGTTGGGCTTTCTTCAGATGAGAGTGGTAGAGTGGTCATATTATCATCTCAGGGAATCGTCTTGCACACTTTTATTGTATTTTCATACATAAATTGATGATTACCATGACTGGGAAGGTGGGCCTACTATAAAATGCAGCCTATGTTGGAGTACTTCTCAAGGCGTGTTTCACACGACATCTGTGTGCATACTACCTGCTTTGATTTCACTTTCAATTTTTTGTTTTATTTCCAGGAGGCAAAACAGTTTTCAGGAACATAGGTGCTGTTAGACTTAAATTCACATTCTTTCATTCGTTCATGAAATTTTTGGGGGGACTTTTGATTACTGTTGTCTTTGGAAGTCTTGATGTACCTTCATGCAATGTTTGTCACAAAAGAGCTCTTAACGTAATGTGAAACCCTGTTCTTTGATTCTCAGGTCTCTAACTTACCAGATCAGATAGCAAACAGTGAAAATTATTATAAATCTGTGATTGTCATCCGACTGTAAAGAGAGGAGAATACAGTTGTTTTCTGATACCTATGCCAAGGATTATTTTTGAGCTTTGTCTCATGACAATTTAATATTCTGAAACAGTCGCAAGAGCAGTAGCCATTACAAGTTACCATGCATTGTGCAGATAGAAAAGGCACACAACTCTTGGCTTTCAAGTTCACGTTGTGAAACTGAGGCTTTTAAGTTCATCTTAAACTCTGGTCCGAAATGTCCTAGTAGTCCGTTCTCAAGTTCCCGTGTATCATTTTTTTCCTCCAAATCTGTTTGCATATGGTATCTAATGTGTCTGGGGCTGTTAGTTTTTATAATATCAATAAGAAAACAAGAAGAAATGTCACGATAATATGCAGAATATCCAGTAGTTTCTTTTAAATGGTTCACAATTGCATTTATGAATTTCAAAAGATAAAGACCTAAGTTCCATATTATTGAATTCCTGGCTTGAATTCCACCAGCAAATGTGGAACTGGACAGTTCTGAGGTAAATAGAGATAAGTTTTAGGTAGCAGTCGATGTCTTTTGCATTCTATAATCATAATATCCTCATCTCTTGTTGCAGTGACTAAATTACTTTTGCTACTTCTTAATGAAAATACACCTTCATTTGGGATTCTTTGCTCAGCTTAAATCCACAATATTCCAAACTTTGAAGAGTCTTTCTGTTATAGTGCTCTCCAGTATGTGCGCTCAGTCTCAGCTGTGACATTTCAGCCTTTCTGAATGGAGGCAATCTATCAGGAAGAATGTACGTTCAGGAATT